ACGCGAAGTTGCAGCTATGGAGAACTTTTAATCTAAACAAAACCCAAAGCCTAAACGATGCCCTAAGGGCTGTATATATGGAGGAGAGAGGGGGAATTTCGTGGCCCTTGGTGGAGGGGTCTGAAACCAACCCTAACTCTTGTTTCCCCACACATACAGACTCTAAAAACAGCCTATACTTAAGTACTTCGAAAATACATGGGCCTGGCCCAATAATAAGGTGACGCAGAACCTAAAATAGCCTCGGGACGAAATTTATGAAGTGGCATCTTGTATATTTCATCCCATGCTTCATGCACTCATTATGGTGGCTTCAGAGTTCTGGAATCATCACTTGTAACTCCGTTCTTGTTCCCCTTGCACATGCCATCATCTCCATGCTTGAACTTGCTCCAAGGTTTATCTTTCTTGTCCAAGCTAGGCCCTTCATTTGTAAGCAAAACAAATGTATCCAATTTAGGCAGCATCATATTCTCATGAACATTAGAATCGTTACCAAGAAACGAAAGTACCTGATAATTCAATTGGCATGCGCGAGCTCTAGTAATCGGTCCAGTGTGTATAGCAGCAGGGGCTGTGGGTGTAACAATGGTATTGATGTCCTCATCAATCAGTTGTTCATGTGTTCCATAAAATTCTTCGAAATACTATTTGGTTTCCTGAAAATCCTCAGCAACCATGTGGTTAATTCCATATTTCTAGAATCTCCGTTGACATCTTCTGTCACTATCATTTTGAGTTCCTTGATTCATTTTGCGGATGCTCGCAATCCTCAATCAGATTCTAGAATTCATCCTTCCAGATCAGACGTCACTTTAAACATGAACTGGTTCTCGACCAATCAAATTGCCGTCGATTGTACCCCTAATTCTATTCAACTTATCTATTCTTAATCAGAGTGTTTGCTTCTGATCCCTTGATTTGGAAATCATAATTCTTTTGCATTTGAGCTTAGAATTAGTCAGTTGTTTCTATAGTCTGATGCCTTTGCATTTCTTCCTCTGATTGAGTACCGATACTCACATAGCTCCGTTGTAGACCACTAGACCCCTTGTTGGATTATTATCCGACAATCTTCTTCACATTCAAAATACTTGTGAGTTCTTCCCCTAATACATAATGCCCTTGACAATTGTATCCTCTGCTTTTGTCAACCATACTCTACCTTCAAGCGGGTGTTAAATATTCTTGAAGCTTGTGGTATATGTTTCAAAGATGCCCCGATGGGTTTAACCTATGCCTTCCTTAATATGTGTGAGCTCGAAAGTTTTCACGAGTCATACTCTTCCGGTATTTTGCCAGATAAAATTTCAACACTACAACTTCATCGAACGCGAGAAGTGAATGAAAGGTTATGCATTGGAGAAGTGGGAGTCGACCTTGAACTTTGTTTTCATGCCCATGGAGACGATGTAGATCTTGTCATAGAAGCTTCTCTTCAATTAATTATGCCCTTGGTATAAGTTCGTCTTATGTCTGGGATTCTGTCTTTTGCAATTGTGGTTCCGGTCATATTGATATTCTTTGATTCCTTTTCTCAGACAAGTTAAAGCACTTGTCTTCTGTAGATCAATGCATCTCCGCAACCTCTATTTTTATCTTCCCTCGAGTATTACCCTCTAGTATCTCAAGAATAACAAGGAATTGTCTTTCTTACTACGAGTCTTCATCTAGTATAACTTCTCACCGATTCCGGATTTTCCCCAGGTTCGGAGTTATTAGTCACTTGAGAACACCAATAAGTGAATCTATTCCGCACTCCGATTCTAGAACTCCTAAGTAATTTTTCGTTGCTTATGAGTTAATTATCCTTCAAGCAATTCCTAGCCTGGTCAGCTATATCTTTATCCTACTAAATTTTAACTGTGCTACCTGATCCTTCTTCCTGGACCACAATTTTTGGCGATGAGATAAGCTTACGTCGATATTCCTCATCATACCATTTTGCCTTAAACAACAAGCTTGATTTTGAGTTTGTGTGGTACCCTTGGTTCCAATAACCTTTCGCTTCATCATTACTTTAACTTGATGTCATCGTCGATTGATTACATCCTCATGAAATCTCTCGACAAAGGTGTCATGATCATCATCAACATTTTGGGCTCTTCTGAGATATCTGTCAAATTCTTGATGAGAAATACCCTCCTTGCCCCTCGATGATTTGTGTTATCATCGCCAACTTTATTGCCCTCCCACCAACCCAAACTTGTTCATGTCTCGTGTAGTACCTTGAGTTCCTTCCTATCCAACTGGTGTGATGACCTACCTTGGAGTATTACCATTTATTATGTCAAGAATGTTGTGAGAATTTCTCCATCTCTTAAGAATTCTTGATATAGTAATACCTCTCGCCATCTACGTTCATTTCTTGGCCCTCGTGTTGTTTCTAACCGGAATACCGATAACTGAACTATGATGTGTGAATTCAAAACTTCTAGCAACCCTATTGTTTTGATGTGAATGGTCGATAATTTCATTCTAAGTCTTTTGGTTATCGAATCACCATTCTAACTATGATCATCCTACTTGGTCCATATTTCTAGGGCACTTTCGTTCAATGTTTAATTGTGTGTGTTTTTGTCGAGCATACATAATTATACCATTTGATCTGACAAATTTTATCTCCCTGTTCACATAATTGTGGAAATCCATCTTTTTGGAAATCTCAATGAATTGTCACTGAGTCCATCGGCCACCTCCTCACCCTCTCCTTGATTTAATGATGAACTCTTGTTTCGAAACATGCTTCCATAGTTCATTTCCCGAGAATCTTGTAACTCCATCTCGTTAAATTGTGTTACTCCCCTTCCTTCTCAGGCATCATGAGTCTGAGGTATCCTAACACCAATCAGATCTGAGTCTAGGCCAGATATGATGGTTGGATCATATTTCCAAGAGTTATAACATTGGTTTTTTATATGACCTGGTAAGGTGATGTCATGCCTAGCACACCTGGCCGGAAGACCTATTGTTATATTTTTTCCTTTTTAGCAAGTTATCCATTTTCGATGAGGAAATTGTAAGGCTGATTCTATAAGTTATCCCTGATGAATCCTTGTGTATCCTGAGTCCGACCTTTGCTTGAAGACAATGTCGATGCTATCTCAAAGCATGTCGGTGGTACTCCAATCTTCAATAAGAACATTCGAAGAACCATGCTAAATTTTCTTTATCCATTATCCAACCACCGTTGTACGGATAATGTCATGAAATTTCTCTCCTCTTACCTAAATGGTTGTCTACTTGCTGCCCTATCATGGATGACAAAAACATATCGTTGTTATTCGGGTATCACCACTTTTTCCTGTCCATTGTCTGATTAGTACACTTTTCCTTTCCATTGTTTTGTTTAACCTTTCTTGTAAGTTGACTTAACTGAGCAGTGATAATTCCATGCTTCGGTAAGCCCCTCATTGTACCACTTTGCTAGTAAAACCCTATTACTATTGTTGATGACATTCCGGTAGCCACCGATGGACGAGAACTTTGTCTATTGGTCTGCCTCGTTCGACGAGCAGGAAAATGGTTCTCTTTGTCCCTCGCCCTCGGTACCGATGTTGTTGCCGAGATAACCGACATGTTATTCTCTGAGATGCCTTGCTATCATGACCATGCAAGATGCCAACGCCCTTCCTACTTCAACCCATATGGTGGGCCCATAACCCATAGTTCCACAGGATCGAAACCTGACTCCCCTGTACCCCCTGTTCCCAAGGTTGTTCCTCACGCGTGGCCTCATATGTAATTCATGAGCCACCCTTTGAGAGATCATCAATTCTGGTATCAGACACAATACTTATTCCCATTTCTTTGAACCCCTTTAATGCCCTGTTTCAGGCATCGAACAATTGCCTACCCGCTTGAAACTTTCCATGATACCTCCTTACTTTTCTCTCGATATTTTCTTAAGTTTCAATTCGAGAGTCACCTTCCACCACCTTCCTCGATGTTATCGTCTAGATAGTCAACCTTGTAGAGGCCGTTCTCCCGGAATACCATCCTTATTCTTTCCTAAGTATGATGGAGTTCCCGAAAAAAGGATGCCGACTTCTTCATGATGACCTGAAGTAGTGAAATGAAGATGTCGTTGTAATGGATCGACCACTTCGAGAAGAGCAACCAATAACAAAAGGATTCGTTAGAATTTTGTAACTAGAACTTCCCCCTTACTCCCCCTCTTAAAATCTCGGGACGAGATTTCTTGTAGTGGAGGAGAATTGTGACGCCCGAATAATTAAGCTACAGTAACCCTCTACTAATGATGCCATGTCACCACGATTACTGTTTGAATCTCGCGATGAATTAAATCCCGTTCGAATTCAAATTTAATTTAAAGTCAAACAAATAATGTTTCTAAAAATGTCAAAATAAAAATGTGGGTTAGGTTGCAAATATTCGCTAACAATTTGTCATGAAAGAATTAACATTTTTCCGACTATAAAATTTCCCTGGATGTTAAAACAGTGGACCCACATCACCTTTTTATCCCATTTAAATATAAAGTCAAACATAATAAACTGTTTGAACCAAACTTTTTTTGTGACAGTGCAAAATAATGCATAGTAATTATATGGCAAGGTTTTACATTTTACAAAAGTATTTTTATGCTAAAAGAAAGCACAAAAGAATAGCTAAATAAATAAACAAAAAGTAAATGGAAAAATACTAGTAAAAAGAAAAGAAACCTAATCTACTGGCCCCTTGGCCCATCTAGCAAAAAGGCCCAGCCCACACGCTGCCATCTTCAATCTTCTGTTCACAGAAGGATCGGTGGCCTCCGTTCGCTCGTACACGCCGCAGATCTTCCACACGTCGTGCATCCGCCGCCTCCCCGCGTCGATATGAGCACCCCCTCACTCCCTGGCAAACCCTAGACCCCCGGTTCTCTCGTTATCCGCTCGCACTCGATCTGGAAGAGGAGACGAAGCCATCACCGCCTTCGCGTGGGAGCATGTCCAGGAAGACTGACGCCTTCGCCTTTGTCCTCTACTAGCACCAGGTCAAGCCGGGGCGCCGTCAAACTTCAGGATCGAGCCGTCTTCCCCGCCACAGCTGTCGTCGTTTGTTGTCAGATCCGCCGCCTCCCGAGCTCCCACGCCCTCACAAACTCGTCCACGAGCACCGGGGTGAGCCCCTCTGCAGATTCCTCCTTTTTTGTGTCTCCATCCGTCGTCGTAGTCATCAGCACTCGCCGTGGCCGCCATGGCCGGTGCTCAAGCTCTCGTGCGTGCCCGCGCTAGTGCTGCCCTTGAACCGCTTCTGCTACTCCGCTGCCTGCAGACCCCTGCACGCGCCCGGCCGCATGTGCCCGCGCCCCTGCGTCTGCCGCCGCCTTCGCCCTGCTGCCGCTACGTTGTTGTTGGTCCCATTGCTGGCTATAGCTGCTCCTGCTGCACTTTGGTTGCTGCTGCTTGTGCTACTACCACCGCTGCTCCTCCCTTCCCCTGCTTCCCGTCGCTGGTCGCCATAGCCGGCCACCCCCGCCTCCGCCCGCCACTACCAACGGGCCCTTGCCCCGTGCCGCCTACAGCCGCCGTCGCCACCTTCGACACGCCTCCCTAGCAACCCGGCCTGCTGCTCCCGGCCGCAGCCATCGCATGCCGGTGCAGACGCGGGTGTGCGTGCCCAGTGAGGACGCTGGTGCCTCTGTATTTGGGGTCCGACCCCGTTTGTTTAGTTTAGGGACTAATTCCAATTTGTGCTAATATTCCCCCTCCTAATTAGTGTATGACACGTGGCCCCATCTACTAACTACCACCCCTTTAAGTCAAACTGTTAAAGAAGATAAATAAAAGTGTTCCTATGACAGGTGGGACCCCCTATACTATTTCTATGGATAAGATCAAATAAAGCACCTCTATAACAAGTGGGCCCGATATGTCAATTGGACCAGTCAACCCTGTCAGCTTTGACTGTTGACTGCTGACTGGGCAGTCAATAGGTCCCCACCTGTCATCTCCTATAGCACCATGTTGTGTACACTTTAGTGTGTGCACATAGCATTTTACTATTATTTTTTGTATTAGTATTAAATCAAGAAATTACAGAATATTAATGAAACTTTGAAGTTTCATATAAATTCGACTGTAACTCGGATGAAAGTGTTTTCTACATGAAAGTTGCTCAGAAAAACGAGACGAACCCGAATACGCTACCCACATACCTGTCAGTTGCTTCTAACTATCTGAACATGGAACATTCCCCTCCGATCATCTGTCTCACATAGGTCCGGAACCGGGAAACATTCCCGGTTTAATTCCCCCTTCACCTATGTCGTGTAGCCATGCGTTAGGTCACCCCTAGCACAATGTATTGCCACGTATTGCTTTGTGTTACATTTGATTGCTCTGTTATTCATTGTGTTCCCCCTTCGTTACTTCTTTCTGGTAGACTCCGAGACCGCTGCCGATGTTCATGTGTTCAACTACATCGAAGATGACCCCTCCTTGCTAGAGCAACCAGGCAAGCCCCCCCCTTGATCAACCCGATATCGCCTATTCCTTCTCTCTACTGCTTGTATTAGAGTAGTGTAGCATGTTACTGCTTTCCATTAATCCTATTCTGATGCATAGCCTATCGTTGCTACTACTGTTGTTAACTTGACCTGCAATCCTACATGCTTAGTATAGGATGCTAGTTTTCCATCAGTGGCCCTACATTCTTGTCCGTCTACCATGCTATACTATCGGGCCATGATCACTCGGGAGGTGATCATAGGTATATACTTATATACATAATATGTGATACATGTGGTGACTAAAGTCAAGTCAGCTCGTAGAGTACCCGCAAGTGATGCCGATGTGGGGGCTGAAGGGGTAGGTGGTTCCATCGAGGTAGTGGTGGGCCTGGGTTCCCGACGGCCCCCGACTGTTACTTTGTGGCGAAGCAACAGGGTAGGTTGAGACCACCTAGGAGAGAGGTGGGCCTGGCCCTGGTCAGCGTTCGCGGTTACTTCAAAATAACACGCTTAACAAAACCTTGGTATTTGATATGAGTCTGGTCACTGGCCTATATGCACTAACCAACTACGCGGGAACAATTATGGGCACTCGACATCGTGGTATCAGCTGAAGCCTTTGTGACGTCAGTGACTGAGCGGCGCGCGCCGGGTTGGACCGCGTAACGCAACTTCCTTTATAATGGAGCTTGCTAGGTCGGCTCACCGGCTGCGTACGCAATGTGCAGGTGTGCAATGGGCGATGGGCCCAGACCCCTACGCGCATAGGATTTAGACCGGAGTGCTGACCTCTCTGTTGTGCCTAGCTAGGGCTGCGACGTGTTGATCTTCCGAGGCCGGGCATGACCAAGAAAAGTGTGTCCGGCCAAAGGGGATCGAGTGTGTTGGGAAATGTGGTGCACCCTTGGAGGGAAGTTTATCTATTCGAATAGCCGTGTCCCTCGGTAAAAGGACGACCCGGAGTTGTACCTTGACCTTATGACAACTAGAACCGGATACTTAATAAAACACGCCCTTCCAAGTGTCAGATACAACCCGGTGATCGCTCTCTTACAGGGCGACGGGGAGAGGATCGCCTGGTAGGATTATGATTTGCGGTGTTCCTTGATGCTGCTCTTGCTACTCTCCTCTACTGCTACAAGATGGAGGCTGCCAGAAGCGTAGTCTTCGATAGGACTAGCTATCCCCCTCTTATTCTGGCATTTTGCAGTTCAGTCCACAAATACTACCCATTTCATTGATACCAATGCATATGTAGTGTAGCTCCTTGCTTGCGAGTACTTTGGATGAGTACTCACGGTTGCTTTGCTCCCCCCTTTTCCCCTTTCTATACCCGGTTTTTGCGACCAGATGATGGAGTCCAGGAGCCAGAGGATCGCGAGGTTGATTCTACGTCGAGTTCAACTTCGAGGACTAGTTAGGAGATCCCAGGCAGGAGGCCTTGCCTTTTTGATCGTTGCTACTTTTGTGCTAGCCTTCTTAAGGAAAACTTGTTTAACTTATGTCTATACTCAGATATTATTGCTTCCGCTGACTCTTGTGTCTTCGAGCATTTGTATTCGAGCCTTCGAGGCCCCTGGCTTGTAATATAAAGCTTGTATTATTTTATTTGTGTCTAGAGTTGTGTTGTGATATCTTCCCGTGAGTCCCTAATCTTGATCGTACATGTTTGCGTGTATGATTAGTGTACGGTCAAATCCAGGGCATCACAATGACCCACAAGTATAGGGGATCAATCGTAGTCCTTCCGATAAGTAAGAGTGTTGAACCCAATGAGGAGTAGAAGGAAATGACAAGTCGTTTTTAGCAAGGTAATTTCTGCAAGCACTGAAATTGTTGGTAACATGTAGTTCGATAGCAAGATAATTTGTAACGGACAAGTAAAAATAATGGTAAATAAAGTGCAGCAAGGTATCCCAATCCTTTTTGTAGCGAAGAACAAGAAGAAACAGTCTCTTATAATAAGCAAAGCGTTATTGAGGGCACACAAGAATTTTATCTAGTCACTTTCATCATGTTGGTTTGATTTGCGTTTGCTACTTTGATTATTTGATATGTGGGTGGACGGTGCTTGGATGCTGTTCTTACTTGAATAAACCTACCACTTATGATTAACCCCCTTGCAAGCATCTGCAACTATGAGAAAAGTTAAGATAAAATCTAGCCATAGCATTAAACATATGGATCCAAATCGATCCCATACAAAGTAGCGCATAAACTAGGGTTAAGCTTCTATCACTCTAGCAACCCATCATCTAATAACTACTCAACAACGCATTCCCTTAGGCCCAAATATGGTGAAGTTCCATGTAGTCAACATTCAAATGACACCACTAAGGGAATCACAACATACATATCATTAAAATATGAAACACATATCAAATTCACATGATTACTTGCAACATGATTTCTCATATGGCCTCAAGAACAAAGGTCACTACTCACAAATGATATCATGCTCAAGATCAGTGGGGTATTAAATAGCATAATGGATCTGAACATATAATCTTCCACCAAATAAACCATATAGTAATCAACTACAAGATGTAATCAACACTACTAGTCACCACAGGTGCCAATCTGAGGTTCTGGTACAAAGATTGAACACAAGAGATGAACTAGGGTTTGAGATGAGATGGTGCTACTAAATATGTTGATGGAGATTGGCCTCCCAAAGATGAGATGGTTGTTGGTGATGACGATGGCTTCGATTTCCCCCTTCGGGAGGGAAGCTCCCCTGATGGAATCGCTCCACGTGACGACAAAAGTTCTCATGCCCAAGTTCCGCCTCGAGACGGCGACACTCCATCTCGAAAGTCCTCACCTTATTTTTTTCTAGGTCAAAAGACCTCATATACCAGAAGATGGTCGTCGGAGGTGGGCTGGGCTGCCCACCACCCACCAGGGCGCGCCTGGGGGCCTACCACACTATGGTGTCTTGTGGGCACTAGGTGGCCCCCCTCCGGTGGGTTCTTTTCTCCAATATTTATTAAATAATCCAAAATAATTCTCCCTGAAATTTTAGCTCATTTGGAGATGTGCAGAATAGGTATCTCTGACGTAGCCTTTTCAGATCTAGAATTCTAGCTGTCAGTATTCTCCCTCTTGGTGTAAACCTTGCACATTATGAGAGAAAAGACAGTAGAATTACCCCATAAAGCATTATTATGCATAAAAATACTATAAATAACAATAGGAAAACATGATGTAAAATGGACGTATCACTTCCATATAGCATCACCACATATCCACCGCCAATTTGAGTCCATATACACCACCACACATCTAGTGCCATCACGCCAATCCGAGTCCACCTCCATCATAGATTCGCCACCAGTTCATGTTTCGCCGCACCTACATACATCCGCCACTAGTTCGAGTTCCACCAGATTCATCTCTGCCACCAGTCCAAGTCCAACATTTGCTTCTCTGTTGTCAATTTCAAGATCATGCCATACTATGTGTCGTGACATAATCGTTCTCCCCAACTTCCGTGCTACCCATAGAAGAAAAATAGTTCCAAACTTAGAAAAAAAACTATGTCTGGAAAATTATGGGAAAAAAGAGATTCAGAGTGTGCTTCTTCCTTGTTTACATGCAGCATCGTGATTTTGTTAGTGTTCTAGGCTCGTTTCTCTAGTAGGGTCTAGCCTAGGACCAGCACAGTCCCATTGTTGAACATTTATTTAGCTTTGCATCTCTGAATTGATTATTGCTGACGCTTTTTGCTACCATATTATAAGCCTT